GGAGGGAGGGGGGAGGAGCGAGAAGGGAGGGAGCCAGGAGGACGAAGGGCAGCAGGAGCAGGAGGAGGAGGAGGAGGAGGAGGAGGAGGAGGAGGGGGGGGAGAGGAGGAGGAGGAGGAGGAGAGGAGGGAGGAAGCGGAGGAGGAATGAACAGGATGCGGAGGAGGAAGAAGAGCAGCAGCAGGATGATTTTTTCCATTTCCACACTGGCCAGCAGGTGACCTGAGGGAACGCCGACGCCAACATACAACTGAGGGGGGGCGAATCCCTCAGAGGGCGCTCATTGGCGCAAAGCCTACACTGGACGGCGTTGCGTCCAGTGCGGCACCCTCCATCTTGCAATGAGCTGTGGAGGAGGGGGGCGGACAACGGTCAAGGCAGCTGGTACCCAGCAGCCCCCGTGGCAGTCGCCCCCCAGGTACCCTCGGGCGGCGGTCGCCTGGCAGCCCATGGCTACCAGGCCGTGCACACGGGGTCCCGAAGGAAAAGGTGGGGGGGGGAGGGGGCGTCGGTGGCAAGGGGAACCCCAAGGCGCGGGTTCTAGGGCAGGCTTCGTAACCTGCACCCCCCGCCGACCGCGCCCTGTACCCCCACAGGCAGCACCAACACAACGGAGACAAAGAGGCCCGCAAAGACCACCCCATCCATATGCGGGGGCTACCGTGTCCGCAAGAAACAAACGGCCAGCACAAGTGCTGAAAGCAGGCGGAACCCCAAGGCTCGGGTTCAAGGCAGGCTGCGTAACCTGCACCTCCGCAGATGGCACGAGACAGACAGAACCCGCGGCTCGGGTTCGGGCAGGCAGCGTAACTAGCAACACCCTGCACTCGTGCAATGCACCTTCCCCCGCAGTGGGGTGCCTGATACACGTGCAAGGGACACGCGCGCGACCACACGCATGCGCAGTGATAAACCGAGACCACTCTCACCCCTGGTGTAGCGAACGCCAGGGCGATGAACTGAAATTCCGACCAACCAAAGCACTGGTAGGCAGAAACCTGGGAAACGGCAACTGTCGGGGCACAGATGCCCCCGTGCGAGGCTCCCGTCAGAACGAAGCACGCGTGCCGCGCACCTTCCCCCACAACTGGGGTGCCTGATGCACGTGCAGACGCGCGCGCACCCGCGCGCGCACAAACCAAAGGCGACGCCAGGACGACTCGGCCGAACAACCCCTGGTGTAGCGAACGCCAGGGCGATAGCCAGCTCCATCCCTGGCGTGGGCCTAACTCAAACGAAGAGCCAATGCCCCCGTGGCGGGCCCTCCAGAGGCGGCCCTGTGGCCAATTGGGCAGAGCGATCAAGGACCCGCCGTCTTCCGCTCCAACGCAGGGGGGAGAGGCCACATACATATGAGTCTGTCAAGTGAAAGAAACACACGTCACTGCCCAACAGGTGAACAGCGGGAAAAGAGAGAAATAGAAAAGGCAATGATATTCACTCGTCTATATCGGACATAGGCTCGGCCGTAACCCCTTTGAGCTCAGGGTGGCACCCGCGCTTCATGAGCCGCGAGCGATCCTTATCGTTGCGGCCAGTTTTGGTCGGATCGCATGCACGGCTCAACCGCAGCACGCGCCCGGGGCAGGTGTAGGCTTTACAGCTGACGCAGACGAAGAGCGGCGATTCGTCACTGCACTGCAAGGCCAGCAGGCGGTGGCCTAAATGCGACATACTCTGCACAGCGGGCGGAGGCTCACCTCGGCACCCGCCTAAAAGCGGCCGTTCAGCGCAGCGACGAAAGCGTAGGCAGCACATGCATCGCCAGCAGTTGCGGCACCATTCCCACTGGTGATCGAAGCGAGGCCCGAGAGGAGGAGGAGGTGGCATGGGAATGGCACGCTTCACTCCATCGAGATCAAGCTTCGGCCAGCATGGAAGGACCGCGGCGGCAACTCTACAAACAGCTCGGGCAACTTTGACACAGCGCTCGGCTTGTGCCATCTCGTCCGCACTGGCCTGCGGGTGGAGGGCAGCACCTAACTTAGCAGCTCTATCGGCTGCATCGTTGCCCAGCATTAAAAACATGTCTTCGGCGGACATGTCGGCAGACTCGACAGTGTGGGCCTTCACCTTCCTAGCAGCTCTCAAGTGTGGTGAAGCGGCAAACACAGCACTGCCAGAATACTTCTTCTTATGACTGAAACGAAAAGCCTTGGGAGCATCATTGGCCCTGACGACCCCTATGCAGTCCGCATAGCCCGTAGCGGGCCCTTCCAGGCATTGAGCAGTGGCCGAGTAGGCGCTGTACTCACCCGCATGCGAGGTCTGGGGAAGTGGCCTCGACACCGCTCCTGAAACCGAGACGATGACCTCTCCCTGGGCGTCCGCAGAGACAAACCCCCAGCCCGCCCGTGACAGCTCCTTGACGACGTGCTTGTAGGACGAACCGTCCCAGAAGACGTCACCCGAAACTCCTACGGCGCCAGGAACGGACTCTGGACCTCCAGCGAGAGGGTGGACGATTTTCCCAGCCTCCGCGGGCCTCGGCAACCAGCCCCCTGGATGGAGGAAACTACCAATGGAAAATTATCTTGGCGATGGACCCAACCACATGCAGTTACGAGTACCGCAAAGCAGGTTGAGCGAATGAGAGGGAACTCCCTAAGGGGCCACGAAACGTGTGAGAGGTGTGCCGAAATGGGTGCGGTGCCGCCATGCGAACGCAGCCACTGGGGCCCTCGGTGGAGCTCCCTATGGGGCCACGAAGCCTACGCGGAGCTTGCGCGGAACTTACGTTGCCGCCCGTTTCAGGCCCTGGTGTCAAGAACTGGTTACGTCACCACTCTCAGTTGGGATCCTTGGTCTTATCAATTTGTTTACGTCACTGCTCGCTCTTGGGAGCTGCGGTGTTCAGGGTTCGTTCACGGCCCGTTAACAAGGAACTAGTTTCCCTGGTAACGGTCCGCTAACAAAGAAAAAAGTCGTTCGTCACCCGATGTTCCCTGTTAAGTCCCTGGTAAGGGCTCCGTTAACAGGGACAAGTGTTTGTATTTGTTTGTTATATAAAAGCAAGGAAGGGTGCCCGAGCCTCCGCCACCTGATTTTCCTTGTTAAGCACCCGATTGTCCATGTTAAAGGCTCCGTTAACAAGGAAAAGGTGTGGATTTTCCTTGTTAAGCACCCGTTGTTCCATGTTAAGGGCTCCGTCAACAAGAAAAAAAGGTGCCCGAGCGGAAAAAAAAACAACTGTTAACGGTCCGTTAACAAGGAAACGGGCGGGCCAAACATTTCCCTGTCAACGGTCCGCTAGCAAAGAAACACACATTTTCCTGTCAACGATCCGTTAACAAGAAAACTGTTTTTTTATGTTAAGGGCTCCGTTTACAAGGAAAAGCAGGGGCAAAACAAGGCGGGCCATTAGACCTGCTTGGCACGGGGACGGAAAGCGCACTTAGTTTCAGAGCGCACGGGATCGCTGGCTCGTCCGATCTTACACCTCTTATTGACTCCCTTCCCCTCGCTCTTGTCCTATCTCAGCCTCGGAGAGTCGCGGAGCTTTCTTTGAGCGCGTTTCTTGTTTTGGAGGGGGCGGTCGGGTAGGGTTGCGTTTGCCGCGTTTGGGCTGCCAGCTTTCCAGAACCCCGCGTTGTCCTTGCGTGGACCGCTCGTTGTCCACGCGTTGCCGCCCGTCCCTGTGCCCTGGCTGCAAGAACTTATTACGCCGCAGCTCTCTGTTGGGAGCTTTGGTCTTATCAGCTCGATTACGTCACCGCTCGCTCTTGGGAGCCGCGGTGCTAAGAGCCTTTGGGAGTATTATGGGCCTCTTGGGGGGCTCTTGGGGAGCCTCTTGGGTGCCTCTTGGGGACCTTTTGGGGCTTCCGGGGGCCTCTTGGGGCCTCCTGGGAGCTTCTGGGTGGCGGGGGTGAAGGGACTAGGCTGCCTTTGGCCGTCTTTGGGCTCTCTTGGGGGCCTCTTGGGGCCTTCTTGGGGCCGTCCTGGGGCTGTCTTGGGCCGTCTTGGCGCCTCTTGGGCCGTCTTGGCGCCCTCTTGGGCCGTTTTTGGGCCCTCTTGGGGGCCTCTTGGGCCTTCTTGGGGCGCTCTTGGGGGCCTCTTGGACAGTCTTGGGCGCCTCTTGGCCCGTCTTGGCGCCCTCTTGGGCTATTTTGGGGGCCTCTTGGGAACATCTTGGGCCGTCTTGGGGCGGTCCTGGGGGCCTCTTGGACCGTCTGCAACGCCATGAAAGGCGAAAAGCCGTATATGCTAAAAACGCACGTTTTCCTTCAGAAAATCAATGAATTTGGCCTCGTGGGGCCCTCTTGGGACGCCTCGTGGGCGCCTCCTGGGGCGTCGTGGAGGCCTCTTGGGACGTCTTGGGGCCGCCTTGGGCGGTCTTGGGCTCTCTTGGAGCGCTCTTGGGCCGTCTTGGGCGCTGCTTGGGCCGTCTTGGGCCGTCTTGGGCGCCGTCTTGGCCGCTTCTTGGGCTGTCCTAGGCGCCTGAGACGGCCCAAGAAGCGCCCAAGAAGCGTTTTCCGATGATGTCTCGAGCGAAACGCTGTTTTTAAGCCCCGAAGGCCGTCCTACTCGATAAAAAACGAAGCGGGAGGGCAATTAGATCCGGGTCCGGTGATGCCAACCCCCTCGAACTCCCCCAAGTCCAATTTCTTCCGACTAACGGACCGCACGCTAACGCGCGCTTTCCGTCATCCCGCAGTGCAGAATGCAGAGGCCACCCCCTCACACTCCCCCTAATTAATTCCTTCCGACTAACAGATCGCACGCTACGCGCGCTTTCCGTCATCTGATCCCGGGTTTGCCACCCCCCCCTTGCTATTTCTCCCAACTGCCGGATCGCGACGCTACGCGCACTTTTTGTTATGAACTGTCCAGCCGACCTGCATTCTGACGTCATAGTCGTTTTTTGGCGAGAGCAGAACTGTTGACCCGAACTTTCCGGGGCGTCCTACTGGATTGTATCTCCTGCAACCGTGCTACACAAGAATACGACATGTTGCCCCTTAATGCTTCTGGCCACTCGATGCTCCCAGCCCTCTCCCGTCCGATTGTCGCCGAGTGCCGGGAGCCAGCCATGCCGCTGTGCTAGCTTCGGGAACACGCGGCTCCGCACTGAGGAGCGAACCCACGCGCTGATGGCAGGGACCTTGCGTCGGAACACCCATCCTGGCCCTTGAGCTTCCCTCCCCGCTACCCAGGGACAACAAGCGGCATCAGGGTGTGGAGCCACCCGCGTATCGAAGCTGACGCCGCTCGCTCTGTTCTGCGGCCGTGAGAGGCTGCGGCGGGTCTCGGTTTCTCGTGCCCGCCCCGATGGCGGGGAACGCATCCACCGCCTGTCGCACCAATGGCCCCACTTGGGAAGCATCAGGTTTCACAGCCCTGGCCCAGACAGACTATGAATACTACCGGCTGTCGGGCGATGCGCAAGTGTGGGCAGCATAGTTCTGAGAGAGTAGCGCACCCTGCGGGGTTGCACGTGACTGTCAGGGTCCTCCAATCTGATACATCGTGCCGCGTTTCCTGTCCAGAATCCCTCCTCCAGAACATGTCTCAGTGATTTTGATGAAGCAGTGTTGCCCCGGTCCCACACATCAGACCTAGATTCATCAACGTTCCCAGGAGCCCCTCACTGAACAGCACGACCTCGGCACGCGCTCAAACAGACTGTTCCTGTCCTCGGCGACAGCCGACCCTCGCCCTCCACACGACGCAGAGGTTGTATGCGCTCTTGTCCCGCTCTGAGCCCGCTGCCGCCCAATATAAGCAAGGCGTTGTGCAGAAAATGGTAAGCACGCGCAAAGCGCCATCTCGATGCGGAAATATCGCAGCGTTAACAACACAACTTCTTTAATCTAAGTAGGCCAACGTCCTTCCAGAAAGCTCAATGCGTCCATGCAGTGCGCGCTCGTCCTCAAAAAACTGAAACTCCCGAAGCCTCCGAAAAGCTCCAGAACCTCTGGGGAGAATGCGCTTCAACCTAGCCCCCCCCCACACACACCCTCACCTAGAACAAGGCGAGACGAGACACGTATGAACTTGGAGCGCGAATCTGGCCCAACCTATCTGACTGGCTCTACCGCTCTGAGCTTCTCCTGGACAAGACCCATCTCAACGGCGAGCCTGGATTATACTCGGTACCTGAAGTCTGCTGCAGGCCACGACGTGACCACCGCAGAAGGATCCCCTGCACGTAATGTTGAGCGTCTCGAAGTCTGCTGGACTTTCACCGCATGATCAGAACGGGGTCGGCGCATCACAAATGAACGAGTTAACTCAAACAAGCGTTTCTCGTGTTCTGAAGCCGCCGAGCCAGCGACCGCGCTGCAGGGGAGGTCAGTCGTCGCGTACGCTGCATGGCGCTCCGTCGTCCAGCCGTCCGACAAGGCCTGCCGGCTCGCATTGCTTGGGAATGAGACCGCGCTGACAATTTTGCAAGTAAGCTCCATAAGGTCGCACGAAGACTCGTTGCAGGCCTCAGAAAGGCGAACAAATGAGGATGATGATGCACGGGTACCGGAGCTATGAAGCCACCATTGCTCGGAGGGAGGATATAAGGAGGGATGAGGGAGATATGGAGGGGGAGAGATATGCGGAATGACAGGGAGAGAGGAGTGGGAAGCTAAAGCAATAATACAAGTTCTGGCTCCAAATGTTCAAAGGTGATCGAAATTAGGCCTTGACTGTGAACTGCGACGGCAGGGGCACACATAGACATAATAAACATTTGCCGGCGTGGACTCCGAACAAAAAGTTCTTGCACTTTCAACGGGGTGCGGTGCAATCCCTGTGGGACACACTCTGCTATACGTAAACGTATACATGTAAATGTTCATCTACAGTGCAGCTATGAGTTAAAGGCTACGTGGTGCAAGACATGAGATGCACGATATGTGGTGCCACGTGTGAGGTTCAATATGTGTGGAGCAAAGTTCGAGACGCAATCGATGGTTTGCATCCACTTTGGTGTAATCTAGGCGGTGGAATTTCCGATCTGAAAAACTTGAAACTGCCAGCTCCAATGTTCAAGCAAACATACCCTCCACCAGCCCGCACCTTGTTGGCAATACTGGGGAGTCCGTAAGTGAAGTTACCTGTCGGCACAGGTTAGAATAACAAACCCCAACAAACGCAATGCCGCGCAGACGCTTCTCGTTTAGGTCAATCACACGGGCGGGCGGACTGATGTGTTTGATCTGATTTCGACATGTGCGCGCGCGTGTGGAATCCCACCAGCGCTCTGGGTGTAGGTGGTCTAACGATATCTTTCCTCCCTCTTCCAAAAACCCTCTTCCCCTTCGGAGAAGGGTTTTACACTGTTCCCGGTTACTATACACCCACACCCTCCCCCCACCAGGCTGGCGGGCAACCCAGAACCATGCCGACCCCATGCGGGCCAACCCCCCCGCCATCCCTGCCAAAAAATTGTCCTGGCGAAGGACCCAATGATATGCAATTGTGAGTACCTCAGTTGTGAATATCTTCTTCGGCGGAGCTCCCTATGGGGCCACGAACCTTGCGAGGAGCGCGCCGAAGAGGTCTGAGTGCGAGAGACTGAGCGCGGGCGAGTCTGAGCGCGAACGAGTCTGATTGTAAGCGAGTCTGCGAGCGAGCGAGTCTATGTGCTTGAATGCGAGCATGGCTAAGCCTAGTGTAAGTGTAGATGTCTGTGGGTGTTCGAGTATGACTAACTCTGGGTACTCGCGACACTGATCGATCGATTACCCCAGATCGATTTCCGACGGCCCCAAAGCCCGAGAAGGGACTCCAGGGGCCAAATCTAAACAAAAACTTCTCGAACCTCCGCAGTGCGGCGTGCCCCAAGAAGTCCGCGCGGACCTGCGAACCCCCCGAGCTTCGGAGCCCGCTCTCCCCTCCTGCTCCTCTTCGTCCCCCTCCTCCTCTTCCTCTTCCTCCCCTGCTTTAGAAGTCCGAAACCGGCCTCAGGAAGCCTCCGACAAACCCCAAGAGGCCGCGAAACGGTTCCGAAGAGGCCTCCAGGAAGCTCCCGAGATGCCACGAATTCATGAAACTTGGCGGATACGTACTACAAGGGCGCGCGAGGCCGCCCCCCCCCCCCCCCCAAGGCCACCACCAGAATACCCTTCCCCTCGAGACCTCCCCCTCCGAGACTGGACACCTCAGAATACCAAAGCAACGAAAACACACGGAGGCCGCCGAGAAGGCGACTTGAAACTTCATCCGTTCACGTTCCCTCAATAATCTTGTGTACAGGGTCTCGGGGAGAGATCTCGGGGGGCGGGATCGCGGCCTGCTGGCCACCCGATCCTCTTCGTTCCCCTCCTCATCCCCATATGGTAATCATCGTCGTCATCATCATCACCATCATCATCATCACCACCACCACCACCATCACCACCACCACCACCACCATCATCATCATCATCACCATCACCATCATCATCACCATCACCATCATCATCATCATCATCATCATCATCATCATCATCATCATCATCATCATCTTCATCATCATCATCATCAACATCATCAACGTCATCCAATGGAGGCGACGACGCCGCCAAGCGAACCCGCTGGGGCCTTCAGTGGAGTCCACCATGGGGCCACGAAGCGTGAGAGGGGCGTACCGAAATGGAGGCGGCGACGCCGGCGAACCTTGCCACCGGGCCTTCAGTGGACTCCTCGGCTCCTCCCCTATCCATCGCACTACGCGGCTCTTCTCCGAATTCCACCAGAATCCTCCCCACTTCATCCCTCTTCTCGGTACTCCTCCCGCTCCCTTCAGATGCCTCCACACTTCATCGTACTCCTCGGCCCAACTCGGCACTCCTCCTGTTTCCACACTTCATCGCTCTCCTCGGCCCTCCTCCAACTCCTCCCGGCTCCTCCCCACTCCATCGCACTCTTCCCAACTCCTCCAAACTCCTCCCCACTCCATCGCACCCCTCAGCCCTCCTCGGCACTCCTCGGTCGGTGGACCTTCGGTGGAGATCCCTACAGTGCCACGGGACGTGTTTGGTGGGTGTGCCAAAATGGGTGCGGTGGGCGCATGCGAGTGCGGCCACTCGGGCCTTCGGTGGAGCTGCCCATGGGGCCACGAAGCGTGCAAGTGGTGTGCCGACATGGGTACTGTGGCCGCATGCGAACACAGCCAGTGGAGCCTTCGGTGGAGCTTCCTAGTGGGCCACGAAACGTGTGAGGGGTGTGCCGACATGGGTGCGATGGCCGCATGCGAACGCTGGCATCTGGGCCTTCGGTGGGGCTCCCTATGAAGCAACGAAACGTGTGAGGTGTGTGCCAACATGGGTGCGGTAGCCGCATGCGAACGCTGGCATTTGGGCCTTCGATAGGGGCTCCCTATGGGGCATTTGGGCATTCGGTGGGGCTCCCTCTGGGGCCACGAAGCGTGTGAGGTGTGTGCCAATATGGGTGCGGTGGCCGCATGCGAACGCTGTCATTGGGCCTTCGGTGGGGCTCCCTATGGGGAGACGAAGCGTGTGAGGGGTGTGCCAAAATGGGCGTGGTGGCCGCATGCGAACGCTGGCATCTGGGCCTTCGATAGGGGCTCCCTCTGGGGCCACGAAGCGTGTGAGGTGCGTGCCAAAATGGGTACGGTGGCCGCATGCGAACGCTGGCATTTCGGCATTCGGTGGGGCTCCCTATGGAGACACGAAACGTGTGAGGGGTGTGTCAAAATGAGTGCGGTGGCCGCATGCGAACGCTGGCATTCGGGCCTTCGGTGGGACCCCCCATCGGGCCACGAAGCATGTAAGGGGTTTGCCAAAATGAGTGCGGTTTGGTTGCGAGCGAGGGGGGGACATGAGAAAGAGAAGGCCTTCTCAGAAGGCCCGGAAACCCCCAGGCCTTCTGAGAAGTTTTGTAAGCTTTCCCCGAAGACATGGAAAACTTCTCAGAAGGCCGGAGGGCTTCTGAGAGATCCCGCCGCCTTCTGAGATGGCATTCTCCTTCTTACTTCCCCCCGCGCTCTCCGCCGAGCGGTGGCCGCATGCGAACGCTGGCATTTCGGCCTTCGGTGGAGCTCCCCGTGGGGCCACGAAACGTGTGACGAGTGCCAAAATGGGGGCGGTGGCCGCATTCTAACACTGGCATTTGGGACTTCGGGGGGGCTCCCTCAGGGGCCACGAAGCGTGTGAGGGGTGTGCCAACATGGGTGCGGTGGCCGCATGCGAGCGCTGACATCTGGGCCTTCGGTGGGGCTCCCTGTGGGGCCACGAAGCGTGCGAGGGGTGAGCCAAAATGGATGGCTGGTTCGGAGGGCAGAGGCAGTGATTGGAGGAGGAAGGAGGGCGAGGAGGAGAGGAGGAGAGGAGACGCGGAGCGCTGTCTCTTCAAAACGAAGACCCAACACCACAGGTTGCTTGGGAACAGTGCGAAACACAGTCTGCCCCCACGTTAAGGACATGCGCGGCCAACCCGATGCGCCCCCCCCAACCATCCCTGCCAAATTATCAAGGCGAAGGACCCAACCATATGCAGTTGTGGCAGTTGTGGGTACCGCAATTGTGAATATCTTCTTCGGTGAACCTCCCTATGAAGCCACGAAGCGCTGCACTGGGTGGGGGGGAACGCATGCGGGCGGTATCACTGGGGCCGTACTGGGTGGGTGAACGCGCCAAATTGGGTGTGTGGGACGCATGCGGCGGTCCCACTGGGGGCTTCGGTGGAGCTCCCTATGGGGCTATGGGGCCACGAAGCACTGTACTCGGTGGGTGAAACAACAATTGAAATTGGGTGTGGGACGCATGCGGGCAGTCCCCCTGGGGGCTTCGGTGGAGCTCCCTATGGGGCCACGAACGCTGCAGCGGGTGGGTGAAAATACTACATTGGGCATTCGGGACGCATGCGGATGGACCCACTGGGGACTTCAGTGGGGCTCCCTATGGGGCCACGAAACGCTGCACTGGGTGGGCGAAAACAATGCCAAACCGGGTTTTCGGGACGAATGCGGACGGTGGCAAGGGGGCCTTCGGAGGAGCTCCCTATGAGGCCACGAAGCGCTGTACTCTGTGGGTGAAAACGCCAAATTAAGTTTTCAGGACGCATGCGGACGGTCCCACTGGGGCCGTCGGTGGGGCCCCCTCTGGGGCCACGAAACGATGTACTGGGTGTGCGGGACGCATGCAGACGGTAGCACTGGTACCTACGGTGGGGCTCCCTATGGGGCCACGAAGCGCTGTACTGCGGGGGGGTCGCATGCGGACGGTAGCACTGGGACCTTCGGTGGAGCTCCCTATGGGGCCACGAAGCGCTGGACTGAGTGGGTGAGGGAAGGGGGCCATGAAACGCTATACTGGGTGTGGGGGGCGCATGCGGACGGTAGCACTGAAACCTTCGGTGGGGCTCCTTATGGGACCACGAAACGCTGTACGAGGTAGGTGAAGCGCATGCGGACGGTAGCACTGGGACCTTCGGTGGGGCTCCCTATGGGGCCACGCAGCGCTGGACTAGGTGGGTGAAACACAAGGCGGAGGGAGGAAGGGGCCACGAAACGCTGTACTGGGTGGGGTGGGGTGGGGGGAGGGCACATGCGGATTGTGGTGCTGGGACCTTCGGTGGGGCTCCCCATGGGGCCACGAAGCGCTGGACTGGGTGGGTGCAACGCAGGGAGGAGGCAGGAGGGGGCCACGAAACGCTGTACTGGGTGGGAGGGACGCATGCGGACGGTAGCACTGGGACCTTCGGTGGGGACCCCTATGGGGCCACGAAGCGCTGAACTGGGTGGACGAAGCGCAAGGAGGAGGGAGGAGGTGGCCACGAAACGCTGTACCGGGTGGGGCGGAAGAGGGGGACGCATGCGGACGGTAGCACTGGGACCTTCGGTGGGGACCCCTATGGGGCCACGGAGCGCTGTACGGGGTGGGTGAAACGCAGGGGGGAGGGAGGAGGGGGCCACGAAACGCTGTACTGTGTGGGGGGGACGCATGCGGATTCTAGTACTGGGACCTTCGGTGGGGCTCCCTGTGGAACCACTAAGCGCTGGACTGGGTGGGTGAAACGCAGGGAGGAGGCAGGAGGGGACCACCAAACGCTGTACTGGGAGGGGAGGACGCATGCGGACGGTAGCAGTGGGGTGGGGTTCCCTATGGGGCCACGGAGCGCTGTACGGGGTGGGTGAAACGCAGGGAGGGGGGAGGAGGGGGCCACGAAACGTTGTACTGGGTGGGGGGGGCGCATGCGGACGGTAGCACTGGGACCTTCGGTGGGGCTCCTTATGGGGCCACGCAGCGCTGTACTGGGTGGGTGAAACGCAGGGAGGAGGGAGAAAGGGGCCGCGAAACGCTATACCGGGTGGGGTGGGGTGGGAGGGGGGGCGCATGCGGATTGTAGTGCTGGAGCCTTCGGTGGGGCTCCCTGTGGGGCCACGAAGCGCTGGACTGAGTGGGTGAAACGCAGGGGGGAGGGATGAGGGGGCCACGAAACGCTGTACTGAGTGTGGGGGGGGGGGGGCGCGTGCGGACGGTGCACTGGGACCTTCGGTCACGAAGCGCTGGGCTGGATGGGTGAAACGTAGGGGGGAGGGAGGAGGTGGCCACGAAACGCTGTACTGGGTGGGTGGGTGGGTGGGGGGGGACGAATGCGGACGGTAGCACTGGGACCTTCGGTGGGGCTCCCTATGGGGCCACGGAGCGCTGTACGGGGTGGGTGAAACGCAGGGGGGAGGGAGGAGGGGGCCACGAAACGCTGTAGTGGGGGGTGGACGCATGCGGACTGTAGCGCTGGGACCGTCGGTGAGGTTCCCTATGGGGCCACGAAACGCTGTACTGGGTGAAACGCAGGGAGGGAGGTTAACACCACAGGATGGTATGGAAACCGCTACAAGTTACACTTTGGGGCAAAGTCTTGAATTATGTTCGTGAGGCCCGCGAGCACTTTGTATTGTGTTTGAAAAGGACGGCGGGGGTGTCAGCATATTCCCTGCTGCGCACAGGGCTACCATCCCTGACAACAAACAGTGCAACATGCACCTCGCAATAAAATCTGGATCATGCGCGGCCACGCGGCGATCACTGTCAAGCGGTTTTTGACAGGGGCGGCGGGGGTGGTGGCGCGTGGCCTGCTGTGCGCAGGCCCGCCAGACGCAATGATGGGCATTAGTGTTCGACAAGAACGGTGGGGGCCGATCTGTTTCCCGATGTGTGCTGTCACGTGCGCAGGCGCACTCTGCACGTGCCCCGAACGTGGCGCACCTGGCGCGGCTGAAGTGTGTGTGGCACACCTGGCGCACTCGGAGCACGTGGCGCGTCTGGCGCACCAGGCGTGCCTGGCACGCACGGGCCCCAGGGGTGCCTGCCGCGCGTGGCGCCCCTGGCACGCGTGGCGCACCTCGCCCAAGCGTCGCGCACCGGGGGTCGGCTTTGGTTCCCAGTAGCTGTCCATCCAAAGACGACCGCTGAACATGCTCAAGCTCGGGTGTTACTTATGCGGAGGGCGGGTGGGAGTGAGCTAGACTGTTTGCGGGCGGGCGGGTAGCTTGACACCTCCCCCTACCCCCTCCCCTGGACCTGGACGGGGAGGGGACGGAGGTGTCAGATAGCTCAAAAGAGGGCCTCCGATGCTCCAAGATGACCTCCAATATGCCTCACGATACCGCAAGATCGGTCGAAATGGGTTCCGACATGCTCCAAGAGGCCTCAAATACCGATCCAAGACGGCTCCGAGTGCTCTCGGAGCTCCCTCTGGACCCCCCCAAGAAGCCCAAATCCTTCAAACACCTAAGAACATCAAAGATGTTTGCCTTCTTGCCTTTTCGCTTCCGATGCGCTTGTGAGGCCTCAAGATGGCCCCAAGATGGCCCAAAAGCGCGCCAATAGGGGCCCAAGAGGGCCCCAAGACAGCCCCAAGACCGCCCAGGAGCACCCCAAGAGGGGCCCAAGGGCGCCCCGAAAGGCTGTTTTGATGGTCGCGGGGAGGCAAATCGAGGATCCACCCTCCTCTGACCGATGGCCTCCAAGATTGCCCCAGGAGGTCTTCGAAGCTCCCATGAGAGCCCCAAGAGAGCCTCAAGAGGGCCCCATGAGAGCCCCAACGCACCCCAAAAGAGCCCCAAGAGGACCCCAAGACCCCCCAAAGAGCCCCAAGAGGGCCCCAAGATGCCTCAAAAGAGCTCCAAGAGGACCCCAATATCCCCCAATACAGGCCCGTAGCTCCAAGAAGGCATCCGATGCTCCAAGATAGCCTCCAAGATGGCTCAACACCCTCCTTCCTCTCCTCTCCTTGCACGCTCTGTTTCACTATATGTGTCTCTTCGTCCCTTTGCCCGTCAGCTCGCATTGGCAGGGCTCCCGAATGGGCGGATGGGAATTCGCGAGGCGTAAACAATTTGCTGTGTTGCTTGCAAGGTTCTGCTGGATGGTGATAATTTGAAATAAACGAATACGAATGCGCGCGCATGGTCTTCTTTGATAAGGACGAGGGGCGGGCGCGGCAATACCGATTGGGCTGGGACGTTAGATGTCTTATAGGACATGACAAAATAGGGCAGAATCACACGTACATTGCAAAGGCGGCCCGATCACTCCGGGATCGGGAGGGAGGTAGAGGTGTCAGTTGGATTGCAAGGAAAACCTACGTGGTGCAAAAGCAATGCGGTGCGAGCTCTGGGATGCACTCTATGCGGCCGCCAACGGGACGCCCACGGGCGCCCGCCAAGCGAAACTTCAAATCACAACCCGCGCACCGGTCGCCATCGAAGCGCCCACGGGACACCCACGGGCGGCTACCAGGCGAAGCCTCGGCAAACCCATCGACGCACTGAAGAACCGAAGCAACCACCACACGTGCAAGCAGTGCATGGGAAGAAACACGTATGGTTCTTCGCACGATCATGCGCGCTGTTTGGGCATTCATGTAGACTGTCTTCTTCTCACCAGTCACGTATTAACGATTTTGTCCATGTTACAGCCTTGCTTCCAGTGTTGCTGTAACTGACATGCTCTTGGTAATCGTATCACGGTTCAAACACTTACTGGTAGCAATACTCTTAGCGTTGTCATGCCCAACGGAACACCATCGGGATATAACTGGGACACCCGCGGGACACCGCGCACACAACCAGCCCAAACAGCAGGATGGAAGACTGCGCCTAGCCATCCACCTTAGCGCGAACGGCACGGCTGGCATGCACGTCAAGCACGACACGAACACGGACAACGATCTCCCAGTGGGGGTGGCTTCACAAAAACCTTCACACACAACTTCCAAATACTATCGAGACGACATGCTCGCCGCAGAACAGCATATGCTGTCGGCTTTCAATAAGCTGATGAAGCATCATCGAATAGGGTACACTCGGGGTCGCGCGATCGATGAGCGGCCAACCGAGCAGGAGTCGTGGCCATATACACTGCCTAGTCTCTGAACAAGACACTCATTGCCAAAAGCGAAAAACCTCCACCTCATCGCTCCCGAGTCGGCCCCGCCTGGGTGCCAGTCGCCGCCGCAGAGGCGGCGTTGGCGGCCGCCGCCGCGCGCACAGCCGCCAGGACCTCTTAAACTACCCGCCAGGAGGAGGAGGAGGAGGAGGACGAGGAGGAGGAAGAGGAGGAGGGGGATGAGGAGGAGGAGGAGGAGGAGGAGGAGGAGGAGGAGGAGGAGGAGCGGCGCTGTCATCCCTGGATGGTGCCCTGAACGTGCATTATCCAACACCGCCCTGCTGTCTCTCGACTGGCCCGCCGAGCCACATCGTTCACTGAAGCCGCTGGCCCTGCTGCGATCTGGCATGTTCCGCCCTCACCGTGCCTCTGCGGCTGCCCTCCTCGTTCCCACCCCATGCATTCGGACGCACGGGGATATGGATTACGGATCCGTTAATCTGGCGCGTGGGCGCCACAACTACATACAAAGGCGGAGCATGAAGCCCACACCGCCTGATTTGGAGACGGAGTTTGTCGCATTTGCATAAGAAGCAGGACCGTCACTAATCCACGCGTCTTAATCCATGTCCGCGTTTCCTCGGTGCGTGGGGGGCAATGAACGTTCGTTGCGTTCCCCGGTCGCCGCCTGGGACGCTGTTATCGCCTGCGCCCCCTGGCCAACAGCACATGTACGTTCGCGCGTGCTGCTGAGTGACGAGGGTGAAGGTTCAAATCCGCTGCCAAGCTGTGTTGACTTGATCGTGAATGAATTGCTCCACAAGAGAAATCCCCTGAAGGTTCGCTCGCTTAGTCAATATCGGCCCGAATACCGCGGAAGCAGTGCAAAGGACATGCTTGATGGCTGAAAAACACAAGAAACCAGCTGGAGCGGCAATGCTGCCAGCCCGATGCTCTCGTCGATTTCCAACTGTTGACGTGGGTCTCCGCTGTCACTGGGCCACTTTACCTGTAGCGACCAGAGGGGGAGGCTGACGGACGGCGGCCGTCCTCATGTGCTGCCAGCCGCGAGGCAGGGGGCGCGGTCCCGCGGAAAGCGCGGGCTGGACGGGCCGCGCGGGGCGATGGCAGGACGAATGCCAATTCGGGTAGTAGCCAAGGCCGCGCGCGGGTGGCGGCAGGACCTCGTCACACTCCTGGCCAGAGGGGACGACGAGGAAGTGGCGGGGGGAAGGGACGAGCAAGAGGACCAGGATGAGCAAGACAAGGAGGAGGAAGGACACGAGGAGATGGAGCAAGAAAAGGACTGAGGTGGAAAAGCTGAGCAGACGAGGCATGAGCTGGAACGGGGGTTTGTGACCGCCTGTGACGGCGCCACGCTGTCGAGCCACGGCCAGACGCGCGGCGATCTCCTCGCACGCGCGGTGCGCACTGGGCGCACAGCGCTCAGCCAAGCCACGCCGGTGTCTGACTCCTCCGCAAGTCGAGATTGAGCTCGGGCTGGGGGCACCGCGTGACACGGAGGGGGGTATAAAATAGCCCCGAACCTGCCGCCACCTGCTACCCAGGCCTCACCAGCGGACCTCCTCGCTGGGCCCCTTCACGCCCACCAGCCCTCTCCGAGCTCGTCGTCCATCTCCTCGATGTTTGGCGTTCTGCCCAGCCTGCTCGCCAAGCGGAGCGTCGCCGCACGATACTCCTTCTCCTCGCTGCCACCGTTAAACCTGCACCCACGATCCCATGGTCGCCTACTCGCGCAGGCCCTCGCTCAGCTTATTCTGTCCTCGTCTTAGCCACCTTCGCCACCTGCGCCACCGCCAGACGGCACACGCCCACGTCCATGCCCTCCGACTCCCACGTATCGCCCATCGACGTGGCGTCCAGCTCGTCGCCATGCGGATCGCCCTCGGACGAGACCGCCCGCAGCTCGCCCCCTCGACCCCCCCGTCCCCGCCGCCGTCGTCGGCGTTGAACTGATCCCACCCTGTTGCCACATCCTCCGTCAGCATCTCCACGGTTTCATGGACCTCCTGTTCCTGAACCTCCAGCTCCTCGACGCCTTCGGAGCCGCCCGCCATCTGCTTGAAGCCGACCCCCATCGAGGGGGTCCCTCGCACACTGCTCCTCCAAGCTGTCGCCCAGGGCTTGCCCATACCCATCCTCCAGGTCGGTGCCGTCCTGCTCCTCGCCCTCGTCGGCCATCGGCGCGTCGATGGTGCCGTCGCCACGCGGCACGCCGCTGACACCCAGGGCGAGCATGAGCTCCTCCACCTGCGACCGCCCGCCGCAGAGCTGGCCCCTGAAGTCCTCTAGCACCTCCCCCTTGACCGCAGGTTCCTGCACTGGCCCAGGAGAGGCGGCGACCTTCAGGAGGAGGCGCGTGCCGCCCCCAATTGCCGTGCCCGCAAAGTCCCTCGGCCGCCTCGACCACCTGCGCGGGGAGCTTGAGGAGCCTCGCCGCGCTGAGCCTCGCCCATGGCGGCCCGGTGCCAGCCAAGGGCGTCGCCGAGCTCCCAGTGGGCGGCGAGCGCCGCGGGCATCGCCTTGGTGCGCACCGCCAGTGCTGCGGAGCCGCTCAGGCCTCGCTCCCCGCGGGCCTGCCGTCGAAGCCGCCGCGCCAGTGTGCGGGCGCTGGCTGCCGCCCATCGCCGTGCCTCCATCGCGGCCTCTGGCGCGCGCCCACGGGCTCGCAGCGGGCGCGCGTCCGCGAGGGCCTCCCGTATGTCGACTCGCTTGAGCCGAAATGGCTAAGGAGCAGGAGCGGGGGAGGAAGAAGGGGACGACGACGAGGAAGACCAGGCGCGGGAGGAGGACGATGAGAAGGCAATCGAGTAGGCGCAAGAGGGAAGGGGGTGGAGTTCTGGGCGCAGCGCCCAGCGCAACGAGTGCCCCCCAAAAAACCTGACATGCTCACCTGTACCGCACCTGCACTTACATAATCAACACTGTCTGCGAGAAGGACCTCCAATCAACAGCTGCCAACTCGGTGGAATGGACCTGCGTTTGTCAGTGCTCCTAGTTGATTATTGATCTTGACGGGGCGACGCTCACTTCGTATTTCAACCCATCGCTCGGAGTCTGCACTGTAGACGCGCAGCGCGTTTTGATGATGGATAGACATGTGAAACATCAGCAGCACCAGCCGAAGGGGAGGAGGAGGAGGACGAGGAGGAGGAGGAAGACGAGGGCGAGGGCGAGAGGATGACGAGGAGTACGAAAGGAGGAAGATATTACTTTGAGCAAAAGAGCGAGGAATAGGGGGAGGAGAACGACGAGGAGTAAGAGGAAGATGAGGAACAGTAGTATAAACGGGGTAAATGTAAGGATGGTGGCGTGGAGGGAGAGGAGGCGGAGGAAGACAAACAACCCCAACCTTTACTCATTTGGGGCACGTATATAAAAATACATACCCTGCCAGTCTGCCACACACTCCTAAGATAGGGGTTCAAAGCTGAGCTGCTATCCCACATATCCAAGACACGACAACGTCTACGCCGTCCCTTTCAACAAGACGCGTGCCCCAGATACTGCAACTTGTTACTGGGAAGCGCCAAGGAAAATAAATACACTAACCCTTAAGGAGGGTCATCCTGTTCGCTCACTTCGCGGACAAACATGCGCGGACAACAAAGTAACTGCTGTCATTGCCACTCTGGGCAAGGACCTGCAAAACTGCAACACGTGGCATGCTAGTGACGCATTTGTTCGCCAGCGCTTAAGCGAACAACTTAAATAGCTGATGGGGTGGACGAATCCTACAATGAAGTTGAGGCGGAGGGGGAGGAGGGAAAGACGAGTAGCGGAAAGTGGTAATTGGCAGCCGTGCAGTTGCGCGTGCGCAGTCCAGACCAATCGGACGGCGCCCGCACTCGGGACCTCGCGAGCAGATGCGTACACCAACGAGGCGGAAATAAAGATAGCGAGGGAAACGATGGCGAGGAGGAAGGGGCAGGGGACGAAACACCACGGACTTATTACCTGTACAACGCCTCCTGTTGAAGCAGAAAGGAGCCAGGCCCAAAGCGGCGGGCAAAACCGCATCATATTGCCAGTCAGTAGGTCGACGAAACACTGGAACTGTGAAATTTAATCGGCTGGGCCTGTACGAGCGCGATGGGGCGACAACTCGAGCCCGCCCGGAAGCCAATCGCGAATACGTATCCGGGCAACACGGGGCGAAGCGCACGGCAAGTGCACTTGGCGGATCGACAGCGCCGCCCGCGCGGAAGCGACAGGCCCGCAAGCAGATGGCGCCCGCAATCAGGAGAACCGCGCTCCGTCTACGCAACGCCACCTGGGAGCCACCTGGGAGAGGCAACAAGACATGATGCGAAACACAATGCAAACTACAACTGCACATAATCCGAGCTCAGAAAAAGGAGACGTGCACGTAACAAAGAAACGACGATGATGCCGATCGGTGGCGTCGAGGGAGGGAGGGAGGGAGGGAGGGAGGGAGGGTAAACCCAGAGGAAGGGGAATACGGTGCAGCTGCACGCGCAAAACGAACGTCCTGGGCTATCACAACCTCGAGCTGCTCAGCCGGCGATTCCGAGGAGGGGGGGCGGAGGAGGGAGGAGGACCCAAGGAGGGGAGAGGGGCAATGCAAGCCCACACCGGACGCTCTTGGCCATGGTGCCTGCGAATTGCAGAGCCAACCTGGATCAGCAAACCGGCACCGCGAATGAGGGGCGGAGGCCAGAGGCGGAGCCGAGGGGAGGGAGACAAGTGCACGCTCAAACCGAGCGTCCTGGGCCATCATGCCCTGGAATCGCCCAAGTGGCCTGGAGGAACAAATCGGCACCGTGATTTCGCGGAAGAGCAAGGGACGAAAAAGATAGCAGGAGCTGGAGGGAGGAGAGGGGAGCCAGAGGAGAGGGCAAGAAGACGGGGACAACAGCACGCTCAAACCGAGCGCTATGGGACTACACGGCCTCGTCTGTCCAGCCGAACTGGACCAATAAGTCGACACCGCGCTTCCGAAGAGGAGGAGGGGGGAAGCGGAAGAAGGTGGAGGCACGGGAAAGCGCGAAACCGTGCTCCGCCATGGGCCGCGAGGCGTTCGGACTGGCCGCGCCCCGCACCTATGTGGACGCAGACACCGCTGGCCACACCGCAGCAGGCAACGACGACGAGAGGAGAACGACGGGAGGGGAGAACGACGGGCGAACGGGGCGAGAGAAGCCGCGGAGAGGCAAGCAGGCAGCGAAGAGTGCCGGAAGGGGGCGGCCGACGACGGGCGGGCAACTTGAGCTAGCCGCGCGGCCCGAAGCCTTCAGCGGGCTGAGCAATCACAGCGGCCCGCACCGTCGCCGGGCGGACGCCAGCGCGTCGCGCCGAACCCGTCACTCGCGCCCAAACGCTGGCGAGGCGCCGCTCCGCTTCCGCATGGCTGGCCGCTGCTTCGTGCATCACCTGGAGCAGGGCCCAGGTCGCCGCATCAGCGTAGAAGCCGCCGCGGGCCCTGGCTGCGTTTGTGGCTCGGTACGCGGCACGGGTGCCGAGCCCCCCAACACCGCCCTCATCCTCCTACTTCGTCCTGCAGCGGCTGTGGCGCTCAACGCTGTCCTGCGCCTGCCCCCCGCGCCCTAGCCGACAGAAACGTGGATGTCCATCGTGTTCTGGAATCGTCTGGCTGCGTGCCAGCGGTCCGAGTCCGCGCTGCAGACTGCGGCGGCAATGCGCGTTGGCAGAAGGTGCCAGAGCCGCTGCAAATTCAGCTCGAATCGCGTTGCTGTGCTCCTCAGCGTGCCCCGCATGGACCACCTGGCAAATTGTGCCAGATTCGGTGATGCGGCGGGGCCCCTCTGGATCGCGCGATCCACCAGCTCCCGGGCAGTCGCCTGGACGGGCAGCGAGCCTCTCCACATAGTTGCGGTGACAGTATTCGCGTTCGCGGTGAGCTGCGCCACTGTGCCCGACAGGACCTGGGGCATCGCCGAATCAAGCCATCCCGCCCAGGACGCCGCCCGAAGGAGGGAGGTGGGCGCAGCCCTGGCTGTTCTGAGTTGGATCACCTTGCCGTCCAGCTGCAGCCCCGCTCATCTGAGCAATGCGCGCCACGACATCCGGCGGCCCGCAAGAGCACGACATGCCGAGTTCCTTGAGGTTCCGCAAATCGCCCAGCACACACCAGAAATCAGGTCCAGGCGGAGCCTGTCGCATCCCCCACTCTGCTGCGCGAAGCGCCTCCTGGCGGGGGAAGGCGACCTCGGAGACGAGGGTTAACACTGGCAAGGTGTAATTGCTGCGCTCAATTGATGCGACGTGTAATCCTATCTCGCTCCACCTCCACCGTTCCACGCGCTCCTGCAAGCGTTGCAAGGCTATCTCACAAAGTCACTCCGATCTGCCAGGCCCAACGGCGCAGCCCGGGTAAGCCGCAGTGCGCTTCAGGAGTAGGCCCCCCGCGCAGGGCAAGCGTCCGAGACGACGGCAAAAGCGGCCTCCAGAGTTCTCTCCGCCGCGGGATGCCTACCGTCTCGAGGAGGTTGGCCACAATGCCACAGTTAGCCAAATTCAGGAACTTGCCTGAAGAACGGTAATTGCCTCCGCACGTCCGTGAGCACGATGCCGGAATCGTCCTCGAATGCCAAGATCAACGCTTGGGGCCCCAGCGACTGCCATCCCGCACACGCAGCAACAAATCCATAGCTGCTGCGAAACAACATCAACGGCGAGAGGGGGCAACCCTGCCCAATCCCAGAAGGCAGAACGAAGTCGGGCCATCGCGACCCGCCAACCGTGACGGCGCACTGGCCCCCATCGTAGGCACATCACGTCGAGCACTCGCAGCGCCGCCTTCGGCAGGCCGAAGCCCTCCAACCATCTGCGCATAAGCTGGTGCGAGCAGTGTGCGAGACGCTCTACTACGCATCCCTGAAGTCTAGTAGGGCCATGACTTTGTCTGATTTCATCGGCGCTGTGAGCATTGCGCGGTGCCGATGGCCCGTTTCGCCTGCAAAACCGTTGCGCCTGCGACGCCCATTCGCCGACGTTGCAAAATGCGTGGGGGAGCGGAACGCGGTGAGCATAGCGCGCGTGAGAGAGAATGTCGGTCTCGTTAAGGCGCCGTGCACGTGTTTCTGATAGTTTCTCTGCCGCTTGAACGCGACCGGCAGGCGAAATGTAGTTTTCGCCCCGTCGCCGCGCAACTTTCGCTTGAAAGTGGCGCTCCCGCTTGGGACGGGCGCGTATCCTGTACTCGTCAATTCGTCGGCAACGGGGTTGCGCGCGAGCGGGCAAAATGTCCCAGAAACGCCGCGCAAATGCACACTGGAAACGGAGCTCCCGCTGGGGCCCGGCGCACAGTTTCGCCTCCGCCGGTTCCTGGGAAACGCTGCTGTGCGCAAAAACGCTGAACAGTGCTCTCGCCGAAACACCGCGCAATGAATCTCTGCTGGTCTCGTCTCCGCTTCTGCGCGGCGGGGGCGGGGCCGCGCGGGCGCGAGCGCTATCCTTCCGCAAGGGGGGAGCGCGCGCCAGTCCCAGAACCCAGTTGTGCCAGCATTGGTCCTTCTGTGTTCTGGGAGGGAGGGTTGAATTGGGGCGGGGCCCGCAGAATAGTTCGAGCTGCCTGGCTTGACTCCTGCGACTCCTGCTCATGCTCATGCTCCTCCCCCAACTCCTACACTCATCTGGTCATCCCGTCGAGAACTGGCAGGTGAGAACGAAGTGGACCACATGGGGAGTAAGTTTCGTCTTCGGTTCGGCGTGCCACGCGGCGGACGAGGCGAAGACGCGTGTGCGCGCGAGAGCGGATCACAGCCATACCGCTAGTGAGGTCGTCAACCATTCGACATGTACGCAGATAGATCACAATGTAGCCGCCAAGTCATTTGCAGGATCGTGCGGTCGTTATTTCATGGTTTGACCCATTCGTCGTACATGGTTAAACACAAATTATAAGTCCGACACCGTGCCTGCACGGAGTGGGCGTGTTAGTACCTGGGCCATCACGGAACGGACCGAGCGGACTGAGGAATTGCCACGAAATGGCTCATGGTACCGTTCGCTCTTCGGAGCCTTAGTTTTCAGAGCTTTTTGCGTCATCGCTTGCTCTCGGGAGCCTTGGTGTCCAGAACTTGTTACGTCATCCCCAGAACAGTTCAAGGAGGCCCGAATGAACCAGGCCAATTCCCGCGTTCATCCTGCGGGGCAGCCCAATCCCTGTACCCATGGCGGCAGGCAGCCCAGTGCCGACACCCGGACAGCCCAGTCCCTACACCCAAGGGCTGTCCTGTGCCCTCCGCCCACCTCCTGCTATCTGACGAGGTCTACAACGACGACGCCCATCATCACCATCACCATCATCACAATCAGCATCATCATCATCATCATCATCATCATCATCATCATCATCATCATCATCACCGCCAGGAGCATCATCATCACCATCAGCACCATCAACGTCATCAACATCATCATCACCCTCATCATCACAAACACCACCAGTATTATCGTCATCCTCATCTTCCTCATCAACGTCATCAGCATCATCACCACCACCACCATCATCATCAGCATCACCATCATCATCATCATCAGCATCATCATCATCATCATCATCATCATCATCATCATCATCATCATCACAATCGTCGTCATCATCATCATCATCATTTGCGTCATAATCCTCCTCCTCATCATCATCACTAACATCATCATCACCATCATCATCAGCAGCATCATCATCAGTATCTATCGTCATCATCATCATCAACATCATCACCACTAGCATCATGAGCACCATCATCAATGTCATCAGCATCGTCACCATCATCGTCATTACCATCCGCATCAACATCATCATCACCACCACCATCGTCATCAACATCACCTTCATCATCACCACCGCCGTCAACATCATCATCATCATCATCATCATCATCATCATCATCATCACCGCCAGGAGCATCATCATCACCATCAGCACCATCAACGTCATCAACATCATCATCACCCTCATCATCACAAACACCACCAGTATTATCGTCATCCTCATCTTCCTCATCAACGTCATCAGCATCATCACCACCACCACCATCATCATCAGCATCACCATCATCATCATCATCATCATCATCATCAGCATCATCATCATCATCATCATCATCATCATCATCATCATCATCACAATCGTCGTCATCATCATCATCATCATCATTTGCGTCATAATCCTCCTCCTCATCATCATCACTAACATCATCATCACCATCATCATCAGCAGCATCATCATCAGTATCTATCGTCATCATCATCATCAACATCATCACCACTAGCATCATGAGCACCATCATCAATGTCATCAGCATCGTCACCATCATCGTCATTACCATCCGCATCAACATCATCATCACCACCACCATCGTCATCAACATCACCTTCATCATCACCACCGCCGTCATCATCACAATCAGCATCATCATCATCATCATCATCATCATCATCATCACCGCCAGGAGCATCATCATCACCATCAGCACCATCAACGTCATCAACATCATCATCACCCTCATCATCACAAACACCACCAGTATTATCGTCATCCTCATCTTCCTCATCAACGTCATCAGCATCATCACCACCACCACCATCATCATCAGCATCACCATCATCATCATCATCATCATCAGCATCATCATCATCATCATCATCATCATCATCATCATCATCATCATCATCACAATCGTCGTCATCATCATCATCATCATTTGCGTCATAATCCTCCTCCTCATCATCATCACTAACATCATCATCACCATCATCATCAGCAGCATCATCAGTATCTATCGTCATCATCATCATCAACATCATCACCACTAGCATCATGAGCACCATCATCAATGTCATCAGCATCGTCACCATCATCGTCATTACCATCCGCATCAACATCATCATCACCACCACCATCGTCATCAACATCACCTTCATCATCACCACCGCCGTCAACATCATCATCATCATCATCATCATCATCACCGCCAGGAGCATCATCATCACCATCAGCACCATCAACGTCATCAACATCATCATCACCCTCATCATCACAAACACCACCAGTATTATCGTCATCCTCATCTTCCTCATCAACGTCATCAGCATCATCACCACCACCACCATCATCATCAGCATCACCATCATCATCATCATCATCATCAGCATCATCATCATCATCATCATCATCATCATCACAATCGTCGTCATCATCATCATCATCATTTGCGTCATAATCCTCCTCCTCATCATCATCACTAACATCATCATCACCATCATCATCAGCAGCATCATCATCAGTATCTATCGTCATCATCATCATCAACATCATCACCACTAGCATCATGAGCACCATCATCAATGTCATCAGCATCGTCACCATCATCGTCATTACCATCCGCATCAACATCATCATCACCACCACCATCGTCATCAACATCACCTTCATCATCACCACCGCCGTCAACATCATCATCATCATCATCATCATCATCATCATCATGACAACCACCATCACCATCACCATCACCACCGAGCAGACTCCCTCTCAATCACCTTGTCTCGACACCTTTGCATTCGGCGCTGGTTTAGGAAGGAGCCCAGCTCGAACTCGCTCGATAATCTTGAGCCTGTGATTCAACCCCCGCTGAGTCTCTGGGAGCTGACAAGCGGACGATCAACCCCTGTGCTTATCTCCGACCACCCGAGCAAAGCAATGACACCTCGAGCCCCATATGGGACCACGAGAAGCGTGAGGAGTGTGTGGGCGGGGCGGCCACATGCGAACATGGCCACTGGGGCCATAGGTGGAGCGCCCTATGTGGCCACGAAACGTGTGAGGGGTGTGCCGAAATGCGCGGGCAGCCACATGCGAACACAGCAACTGGGGCCAACGGTGGAGCTCCTTATGGGGCCACGCAAGGTTGAGGGG